TCAAGAGATCTTCCCACCTCAGCCTTATCAATAGCTGGGAGTACAGGCGTGCACCACCACACTCAATACACTCAGCTAACTTTTTATTTTTTGTAGAGACAGGGTCTTGCTGTGTTGCCCTGGCGGGTCTCCAACTCCTGGGCTCAAGCAATCCTTTCACCTCGGCCTCCCAAAGTGCTGGGGTTACAGGTGTCAGCCACGGTTCCCCACCTCCACCCGCTTAGTCTTGCCTTGTTCCGACCGTGTCCACCACTGCATACGTCCACCTCCGGCTTCAGAGCCCAGCTAACAGTCCTCCCAGAGCCCTGCCCCAGAGCCCCAGTCACACACCTGCCAGGGAACCCAACCTCTCCCACACAGCCTGGCCCACACACACAGCTCTGTCTGCTATTCCATCTCTCCAAGCTCCACCTCTGGGTATATCCCCTGCTCTGCCCCTGATCTCCAGCCCTCCTGCACAGTTCACCCACTCGATCCACTGTCCAGCCAGTAGGGTCCCAAAACTGCTCCTGAAATCCCATCAGGTCCTGATTCCAGGCCTCCCGGAAGCCCCGCCCACACAACCGAATGCCCAGGGCCTTGCACAAGCCAACCTTTTGCCCTCACTGACGCACTTCCTCCCAGGCCCTGGCTAATTATTATTTCCCCCCCGCCTTTTTTTTTTTTAAGATGGAGTCTTGCCGGGCGCGGTGGCTCAAGCCTGTAATTCCAGCACTTTGGGAGGCTGAGACGGGCGGATCACGAGGTCAGGAGATCGAGACCATCCTGGCTAACACGGTGAAACCCCGTCTCTACTAAAAAGAATACAAAAAACTAGCCGGGCGAGGTGGCGGGCGCCTGTAGTCCCAGCTGCTTGGGAGGCTGAGGCAGGAGATTGGCGTGAACCCAGGAGGCGGAGCTTGCAGTGAGCCCAGATCACGCCACTGCACTCTAGCCTGGGCGACAGAGCGAGACTCCATCTCAAAAAAAAAAACAAAAAAAAAGACGGAGTCTCGCTCTGTCGCCCAGGCTGGAGTGCAGTGGCCCGATCCCGGCTCACTGCAACCTCTGCCTCCCGGGTTCAAGCGATTCTCCTGCCTCCACCTCCCAAGTAGCTGGGACCATAGGTGTGCGCCACCATGCCCAGCTAATTTTTCTATTTTGTTTTAGAGACAGGGTTTCACCATGTTGCCCAGGCTTGTCTCTGACAGGGGCCAGCCCCTCCACACCTGTGGGTATTTCGCGGCAGGCGGGACGAGAGGCAGAGAAAAGAAATAAGGCACAGAGACAAAGTATAGAGAAAGAACAGTGGGCCAGGGAACCGGCACTCAGCATACGGAGGACCCGCACCGGCCCCAGTCTCTGAATTCCCTCAGTATTTATTGATTACTATTTTCACTATCTTGGCTAAGGGAATGTGGCAAGAGAACAGGGTGATAGTGGGGAGAAGGTCAGCAGGAAAACATGTGAGCAAAGGAATCTGGGTTACATATAAGTTCAAGGGAAGGTACTGTGCCCAGATGTGTGCCTAAGCCAGGTTTATGCTTCTCTCCACCCAGAGGTCTCAGTGTAGCAAAGAGTAACCAAGCAGCATTGCCGCCAGCATATCTCGCCTCCAGCCACAGGGCGGTTTTCTCCTATCTCAGAATAGAATGAATGTATGATCAGGTTTTACACCGAGACATTCTGTTCCCAGGGACATGCAGGAGTCAGAGGCCTTCCTCTTATCTCAACCGCAAGAGGCTTCCTCAGCACAAACCCTTCATGTGTGTCAGGCTGGGGGACGGTCAGGTCTTTCCCTTCCCAGGAGGCCATATTTCAGGCTGTCTTAGTAGGGGGAAACCTTGGACAATACCCAGGCTTTCTTGGGCAGAGGTCCCTGCGGCTTTCTGCAGTGCATTGTGCCCCTGGTTAATCGAGAAAGGAGAATGGCGATGACTTTTACCAAGCATACTGCCTGCAAACATATTGTTAACAGGGCACATCCTGCACAGTCCTAGATCCCTTAAACCTTGATTCCATACAGCACATGTTTCTGTGAGCACAGGGTTGGGGTTAAAGTTACAGATTAACAGCATCTCAAGGCAAAACAATTTTCTTAGTACAGATCAAAATGGAATTTCTTATGTCTTCCGTTTCTACATAGACACAGTAACAGTCTGATCGCTCTTTCTTTTCTCTACATATCCCCCTTTTCTTTTTGACAAAACCGCCATCGTCATTATGGCCCGTTCTCGCTGGTCACTGTCTCTTCAGAGCTGCTGGATACACCTGTGGACTAACAACAGACAGAACAGGCATACAAGGATTAATATGAAATTTACAATAGTGGAACTTCTGATGATTTTAACCCAACTGACCGGGTTAAGATTGGCGAGGCCATCAGCAGCATTCACGATTGCCTCAGTTCCTGGCACCACATTTAAATGGGCTTTTGATGCCTCAAAAATGTGTTCTTTTAATTTTGAAAAGTATAAAGTAAGATTATCTCTTCCTTGTAGGTGGTGTCTAACCATGTCCCGGTAACGCTCAGACTCATTATAGGCTTGGGGTGTAATACAAAAATCTGACGTACTCCAGTCACACTGTAACTGAAAATGATGTTCCAAGCTCATGAGCCTATCTCTCATCCAAATGACAGTTTGTCTAAGATCATTAATTTGGTTTGCCAATTTTTGATCTATTTGGGTCTGAGATTTTCACAATTTTGAGAAATTCTTTGGCCAATCATGGACATATTTTGCAGTTTGAACAGAGGATTGTAAAACAATTCCAGTAGCCGCAGCAGTAGCTGTCACTGCAATAAGGCCCATAATCACTGCAATCAAAGTAAAAAAGAATCTTTTGGATCAAGTTAGAATTCCTTTTAATACTTCCATTAAAATATGGATGAATGGCGAGGCCTCCCACGGTTGGTCCATGGACACAGGATCCACACGCCCTCTCTTGCTCTCACTAGTAGAATATGGTGCTGCAATTAAAAGTTGAATCAATGCAAGGAAAAAAATCTATAATTTTCACAGGTTATAGTTTGGGAATCTGGTTGATAACTATGTTTCCTACAACTAGCATATAAGGGGGTTTTACACAACTTTGCAAAGAAATTGTCAGACTGGAATTTAGGTTGATAGTATAATATGGCTTATAATCTCTTGTTCCTGTGGCTTGATTTCCAGACCAAATTCTAATGTGGTGCAAGGCCGCAGTAAACTTCCATAATTCTGGATGTTCAGGACCAGTCACAGGACTAACTAACTTTGGTGGAGGTGATGAAATTCCCTTTTCACCCCATTTCCATGGATAGGGTGATTCAAACCTTCTATAAATCTGGTCCAGTGTTTCAGTTAAATCACTATCATAGGCCGGATTAATGGGCAAGATGGCTGGGGCCTGTGAGTATGAGTGAGTCTGGCCCATACAATTATGATATAATTGGCCTCGAGGGGCCATCAGTAAACACCATCAGAACATTTTCTGAAGGTTTACATTTGGCAATTTTAGGTAAAATCCAAGTAGTCAATTTTAAAAACTGGAAGATTTTTGTTTTTGGGTATTGATTGTCAATAATTCCCACAAAATCAGTAAGACCAATCTGCCAAGCACCAGAATTGATAAAGGCTTGTCTAACCTGTTCCTTGTTTAAAGGAACGATGATTTTGTCTGGGTCACTTCCACACAATTTTATTATTTGTAGTTTTGCCTGACCAATTAATGTAGCCATTTGATCCAAGCACAATGTAAAAGTCTTAATTGTACCGTGAGGAAGGAACAACCACTCCACAAGATTAGTATTTTGAACAATGATGCCTGTTGGAGAATGTGTAGTAGCAAAAATCAAAAGTTGGAGTGGGGCCAAGGGATTTACTTGTGCTGATTGAATTTTTTCTTTAACTAATTTAATTTCTTTAGTTGCCTCTGGAGTTAATGTTCTTTTACTGTTTAATTCCGGGTCCTCTCTTAAGATAGAGAACAAATTTGACATGGCATAAGTAGGGATGCCTAGAGTTGGCCGAATCCAGTTAATATCTCCTAGCAACTTTTGAAGTCATTTAATGTTTTTAATGTGTCTTTTCTTATTTATATTTTTGGTGGTTTAATTTTCTTTTCCTCTATCTGCATTCCCAAGTAATGGAAAGGAGTAGAGGCTTGAATCTTATCAGATGCTATTGTCCGTTCTGCGTTGGCAACCTCTGTCTGCAGAAATGTGTAATAGTTAATTAATTTGTCTGTTGTTTCTGCAGCACACAAAATATCATCAACATAATGAATGATACAACAGTCTGAAAACTTATCTCTAACTGGTTGAAGAGCTTGAGCTACAAAAGTCTGACAAATAGTTGGACTATTAAGCATTCCCTGAGGTAACACTTTCCACTGAAACCTGGTGGCTGGTTCTTTATTATTTATGGCCGGTATAGTAAAGGCAAAATTTTCAAAATCCTGTTTTGCCAGAGGAATGGTAAAAAAGCAATCCTTCAGATCAATCTTTTTTTTTTTTTTTTTTTTGAGATGGAGTCTCGCTCTGTTGCCCAAGCTGGACTGCAGTGGCACAATCTCAGCTCAGTGCAAGCTCCGCCTCCCGGGTTCACACCATTCTTCTGCCTCAGCCTCCCTAGTAGCTGGGACTACAGGTGCCCACCACCACACCCGGCTAATTTTTTGTATTTTTAGTAGAGAGGGGTTTCACCGTGTTAGCCAGAATGATCTAGATCTCCTGACCTCGTGATCCGCCCGCCTCAGCCTCCTAAAGTGCTGGGATTACGGATGTGAGCCACCACACCCAGACTCAGATCAATTATAATTAAAGGCCAGTCTTTGGGGATCATGGCCAGAGAGGGCAACCCGGGTTGGACAGCCCCCATGGGTTGAACTACGGCATTAACAGCTCTTAAGTCGGTCCGCATGCGCCATGTGCTGGATTTGTTTTGAATTTCAAACACTGGAGAATTTTAAGGAGAGAAAGTGGGTGAACCATGCCCTTTTTTAAATAGTTCTTTTAATTATTTTGTGTAGCGCCCCCAACTTTTTCTTAGGGAGCAGCCACTGTTCAACCCAGACAGGACACTGCTGGGTGAGTCTGAATTGCTCTTTTGCCATAATGAACTGCAGGTTGCGCAATAATGGGCGCAGTGAGCCAAGTCGCAGCGAGCGGGGTTTCGGGCTCCCTCCCCCAGCTTTCACTCCACTGCGGAGGAGGTGGCCCTTGTGGTTTTAGCACTGATGGCCCCAATGGTTCTGGATCTTCTCCTCTCAATTTTAATGTTTCAGGATATTACCTCCTGTAATTGATTGTAGTCAACATTTTGAGTTGACCCAGCCTTTACAGACTCTGCTACATATTTACAATGTGAACTTTCCGGGATTTTGTCCCTGCCTCTTCTTCAGAATCTATTATACAGCTTTCAGGGGCATCAGAAATTGAAATGCTATCTTCTCTTCTTTGAAATAGCGTAATTAGATTTTCTGTAGAAGCTCTAATTCCCCCTCTTCTTAAAAGAATTTTAATAAAGCTGAGATAAGAGCATATTTACTTTCAGTTTGTCCCATTGTTACCCTGGGTTCCTCCAAGCGCACAAGCTTACTGCAAGGCTGACCACGGACGTACTCGGGAATCTCTCATCCACTTGTCCTCGATGTTCATGTTCTTAGCGTACCCTCTCCTTAGAGAAAGGCACCCATGTTGGACGTCAGATGAAGGGGGCCAGCCCCTCCACACCTGTGGGTATTTTTCGTCAGGCGGGATGAGAGACGGAGAAAAGAAATAAGGCACAGAGACAAAGTATAGAGAAAGAACAGTGGGGTCCAAGGGACCGGTGCCATACAGAGGACCCGCACTGGCCCCAGTCTCTGAGTTCCCTCAGTATTTATTGATTAGTAATTTCACTATCTCGGCTAAGGGAATGCGGCAGGAGAGCAGGGTCATAGAGGGGAGAAGGTCAGCAGGAAAACATGTGAGCAAAGGAATCTGGGTTACAAATAAGTTCAAGGTAAGGTACTGTGCCCGGATGTGTGCGTAAGCCAGATTTGTGCTTCTCTCCGCCCAAACGTCTCAGTTTAGCAAACAGTAACAGAGTAGCATTGCCGCCAGCATATCGCCTCCAGCCACAGGGCAGTTTTCTCCTATCTCGGAATAGGACCAATGTACGTACGATTGGGTTTTACACTGAGACATTCTGTTCCCAGAGACATGCAGGAGTCAGAGGCCTTCCTCTTATCTCAACCACAAGAAGCCTCCCTCTTTTACTAATCCTCCTCAGCACAGACCCTTTACGGGTGTCGGACTGGGGGACAGTCAGGTCTTTCCCTTTCCACGAGGCCATATCTCAGGCTGTCTCAATGAGGGGAAACCTTGGACAATACCCAGGCTTTCTTGGGCAGAGGTCCCTGGGGCTTTCCACCATTCATTGTGGCCCTGGTTAATCGAGAAAGGAGAATGGCGATGACTTTTACCAAGCATACTGCCTGTAAACATATTGCTAACAAGGCACATCCTGCACAGTCCTAGATCCCTTAAACCTTGATTCCATATAGCACATGTTTCTGTGAGCACAGGGTTGGGGCTAAAGTCACAGGTTAACAGCATCTCGAGGCAAAACAATTTTCTTAGTACAGATCAAAATGGAACTTCCTATGTCTTCCTTTTCTACATAGACACAGTAACATTCTGATCTCTCTCTCTTTTCCCTACAGTCTCAAACTCCTGGGCTCAAGGGATCCATCCGCCTGGGCCTCCCAAGTTCTGGGATTACAGGCATGAGCCACCCAGCGGGCCAGCTCTAGCTAATTCTCACGTGCGCCCCAAGTGGCGCCCCGTGCTTGGAGGCTTTGACTAGACCCCTCCCTACACAAGCACACACCTCTTCCCAGCCTGGTTGCCCTGTCGCGCCTCTGATATCCTTGACCCCTCCTCCCCCACCCCTTCCAGCCCGCGTGCAGGAGGAGATCGACCTCGCAGTGGGAGGCGCGCGACTGCCAGCGGCGCTGGAGGACCGCAGTACCATGCCTTACACAGACCCGGTGATCCACCAGGTGCAGCGCTTTGCAGACATCATCCCCATGAACTTGCCGCACCGCGTCACCCCGGACACAGCCTTTCGCGGCTTCCTGATACCCAAGGTGCGCTAGGCCTGGCAAACGACATCAGGCAACCTAAGAGGAAGCATCGCAGGCTCTTGCAACTTGCAAGGAGTATCCCCGGCACTAGCAATCAACACCCCAGGCCTTAGCAACTGGCATCCCAAGCCCTAGCTACAGACATCTCAGACCCTTAAATCCAGAAGCTCGGGCCTTTCCCAGGACCCCATCTCATATCATAGTGGACTAGACCCATGACAAATCCCCTTCCTAGAAACCCTCCCTGGAAGCCCTGGGGTCTGGAACTTCATCTTGAGGATCGCCTGTGCCTAAACGCTATTCTCAGGGCCCCCTCATTTTTCCCAGAAACCCCATATCTGCTCCCACAAAGGGTGGGGGTTTCCCA